AAGGGCCAGCCTGTGGAGGTTTTTAAACTGTAAATAGTGAAAAGGAATTTAGATTTTATCTTTGGTCAACTAGGACTCCATCAAAGGTTATTAGCCAGGGTGGGACAGTATCACTTGTGCATTTGAAAAAGAAATATGTTTGTGGTAAGGAGAATGGCCTGGAGTTAATAGGGACTGGAATTAGGAGCCTATTTCAAAGGCTATTAAATAGTCCTGTTAACATATAACAAGTTCCTGAATTTAAAGATACTGTTTCAAAGGTGAACTGACTGAGTAGGTGATTCACAGGCTTAAGGGTGGTTCTGAGATGTACATACCCCAACCATAATCGAAAGATGCCTCAGAAAGTAACATAATTCATTTCAGATTTCAGTCATGTTTAGTCATGCGTGAAGAAGATTTAAGGATAGTCTTCCCCCTGCCCCCTCTAGACATGTAACTAAAATGCTGAAGAGTATGCACTGGGATGGAGATTTCTTCTGTCTTAAAGATGGTTTGCACATCTTCTCAGTTTTATCTGCTTTTAGATTTAAGTTAAATATCAGGAGAGTCAAGTTGGATAAAGTTTTCTCATAGTGTGTGGTGTTGAATCAAATAAATTGGATCAGCCACAGAACTGAAAATGTCCTTAGAAAATGCAACCTGTGTTATCGTCATGATTCCATATCCCCTTGATGGATCTGCACGGGTACTTTAAAAGTCTGCACAGAGTGTGAAGGCGTAATGTCGGCACAGCCACGTGTGTACACAACTGTCCAATTGCAGGGACAATGACACACCAGAGACTACAGCCACTGCAGTGTACACAAACATACATTGTAAATTAATAGGTTAATCGAGCTCTAAAACTGAAGTCCGGGGATACTGCAGAGTTGTTATGTCTAAACATAGTGTGCGTTTCCTTAAAATTCAGCATGTTCCTCTTTCATAAAAAAGAAATAAGGGAATATCAACATAATATTTTCAAGCAACCCATTTCTCCCCTCTTCCACCTCCAATAATTTGTTGAAAGTCATGTAAGTAAGGTGCAGTCTTTGGGTTACTGAGTAGAAAAAGATTCTTTTTATTGTTGCCATTACATTTTGGTGAAGTCAGACTCCTGTATCCAATATTCTGCTACACCAATGACTCATGTTTTCCAAGTTCAAAATCTGTTTTTAGTCCTCATTACTCTTGACCCTCCTATGGCATTTGATATTTTGAAAATATTGTCTTCCTCATCTTGACTCTTTAATACCTCATTTTTCTACCTCTTTGATGATTCCTTCTCTCATCTTTATCACTTCCACTTCATTCTTTCCTCGTACATGTTGGTACTTTTCCAAAGATGTGTTCTCTCCTCCCTTTTTCCCTTGTTGTCTTTGATTTTCTTACAACTCTATTACGGTCTCCTCTCTGCTGAACTTTCCTCAGAAGGTGGACTTAGACTGTACCTTGCTTTTAGGTCATTATTGCACATGTTATTGCCTCTTCCTAAATAGATATCGCCTTATACTAATTTCTTCTTGTTTTTCAGACTTCAGTCCTTTGAAACATCTTTCCTTCTGGAGATGGGTACCTCTCCCTTGTGTTATAGGGCACCTTCTGCTTTTCAAGAGCCCCTACATTATAGCACTTAACTTATTTCAGTGGTTCCCAAACTGGGAGCCCCAGACCAGTAGCATCACTATTACCTTAGAACTTGTTAGAAATGTAAATCCTCAGGCTCCCAAACCCATCAACTGAATCAGAAACTCTAGGGCATGGTTCAGGAACCTGTTTTAACAAGCCCTCAAAGTGATTCTGATACAGGCTAAAGTTTGAGAATCACTGATGCATTGCAGTCATTTGGCTTTTGGCTGATTCCCCTTCTAGATGATGAGCTGTTCTAGAAACTGTGGTGGAATCTTCTTCACTGTGATATCCTTTGTATTCAGTGTGGAATTTGATACATTGTTGCTATATATTATTAATTTGTTTCAATGCACGAACAGATAAATAAATGAATGAAAACTTTTTTATGAGCTCCAATTTCACATCTTTGATTGGCCACTACGTAATTTGTGTGGAAAGCCAAGAGGCACTTCAAAGTCAACTTCCGTAATAGGGAAACTGACATCTAATATCCTTCATTACCAGTGTTCTCCAAAACAGTTGCACACATCTGCTTCTACAACTCTGACTGACTTTTTAACTCTCTGATCTCTCCTTTTCTGTCACTACTATAACCATTCTCTCCATTACTCATGGAAAACGTAATCACCTTTCTTTGACAAAATAACTTCCTTTGTTCTGAGTATACAACTGACACATATTCATCATAGAAAATCTGAAAAATTCAGTTATACACACAAAATCAAATGAAAAGTACTGGAGATGCCACCAATCGGAGAGAACCATTGTTATTTGTTGTTATTAATCAAACTTTTAGTTCTAGCGTATTTGCTAGAAAGGCTATTCTATGAAGATTGATGTTTTGTCATCTGCTGTTATTAAACTATCGTGAATATATTTCCATGTCCTTAAGCATTGTTTTCCACAGATTCATTAATGTTTGCATGACATTTTTGTCAATTATTGATCTATCCTCATCTTCCTTTAAATTACTGAATGTCCTATCAAAACTTTTCGTTACCTCCACCATTGCAATCCAAGCTCTTTTTCACTCCCGTAACCTGTTGCAGTAGTGTCCTATGCCAAATGAATTTTTCTTAAGTGTAATTCTGAGCAAATTGCTCTAAAGTCAAAATAAGGCCAAATAAGGCCACTGTCCTCAGCAGGGCAGTCAAGGACTCCTTATGCATACCAGGTTCTGGATGAGACTGCTCACTGTCCTTGCAGCATTTCCCCTGTTTTCTCGCCTTTTGAATATTGCCACTTCTCTGTCCACAAATTCTCTCCCACCCATGATTTTACTCAAGTGTCCACTTCAACGCAAAGCCTGCTAAAATAGCAAACTTCCTACTCTCACCATCAGTCCACATCTTATCCGCCTTCTCTGCTCTATTTTGTCTCCTTAGTTCTTACAACCATCAAACTAAATATATATTTTACTTATTTAACTTGCTAATTGCCTGTCTCCATTAACTGGAGTATAAGCTCCATGAAGACAATGCTTTTTGCCTGTTTCTTCATCATTGCCATATCCCTGACACCAAGAACCGTGCTTGATAAATAAAAACACACTCAGAATATATTTGAAATATTGAATGATGAGTGAATATACAGATGAATGAATACAAATAATGAATATCTACTGGTAAAATTCTTGAAGTCCTCAAAAAAGTCAAAGCTTTTATTCCAGTGATTTGCATATAGAGGGCATTCATTACCTAGTTGTGCAATGTGAATCCAAAGGGCCAGTTAAACATTACTGTTTCCTGAACCTTTTCTCAGAACTTCTGCTGAAGGTGATCTTTCTGCTCTATACAGACTATCAATCATTATTTGTAATTATGGCATATATTTCATACTGAACTGTAGTTACATGTTGCCCTTCCCATTGAGTAATACATAAGCTCCTTAAAGGTAGATACGAGGTATCTTTGTATCTCCTGCAGTTCTTAGTGCCTTGATGCTCAGTAAACAATTCTAAAATTAATTAAATTACCCAAAATAATATTCAATATTATCAAAACCGAAGAGTTTTCAATAGTATCAAATATTCATTTTTCAATATTATCAAAACTGAAGAGTTATGCATCAGGTCACTTTACCTGCTAAAGATGAACGTATCTTTTTTTTTTTTAAGAATACCTGTCATCTGCACAATGGTAACTATTCCCAAATAAATCACTATGTGAACATTGTACATCTTTACAGATTATTAATGCTGCACTTGCTTTGGCTGCAAAACCCAAAAGTCAAGTGGTCAAGAAAACCATGGAAATGTACAAGCGCACATGGGAGAATCATATCCATGTCCTCACTGAAGCTGTAGATGACATTACAAGCATTGATGACTTCCTTGCTGTGTCTGGTATGTTTTTAATTTTTTAATTTATACATTTGCTCTTGTCAATTGTCTGAAATGGAATAACACTGAATGTAAGTAATTTTGTGAAATATTATAAGAATTTAAAAAAATGGTAACCTTTCTGGAAGCTACAATCTGCTACATAAGATCTACTCTAGGATAATGAGCCTCATGCCTTATAATCCATACAACTCAACAATTTACACTGTCTCTAAAGAAACTCCTATTCATGATTGCATCTCAAAGCATTGCACAAAATCACTTAAAGCAGGAAGGCAGGGGGGCTTGTTTGCTTTAACTTATCAAGGAGGAAATCTTTCTCAGATGCCTTGCACTAGATTTTCACTGGTCGTAGGTCATAACTTTATCCTATACCTGCTCGTGGACCAATCAATGGCAAAAAGAAGTGTGATGGACTTAGAGTGCTGATAAATGGTTAATGAGTGACTAGGGGCCAGAGAGAGGAGTAGTTCTAATTTGTAGCACTTGCTGATTTCTGTGACATAACTACTCCCATACTGGTGGATCTTCAGCTGCCACCATCAGGCCGCTGAACTCTGAATTGGGAAGAGATGCATAGAATAGCTCTTGTGAACGGGTATGAACATATCCTAGCAGACCACTGGGCTTAGACTAGGCATAATTCAACCTTCCAGACTAGTGACTTACTATAAAAACAAAATCAGAGTTTTATCATCAGAAAAGAAGGAGAGATAGTATTGATTGGAGAAAAAAATGTGTTTGCCCCAAACACTGAGTGGCGTCCACTGCTTTCTCAGGTTTCTGTGTCTTCATAAACTTTCCTTGTGATAGTTTAGCATGCGCTCCAGTGATGTTTCCTGTTACATCATAACTTTTCCACATCTGTTCCCATCAATCATGGCTTCTCCTCTGAGACAGAATTTGAGTCTATGTGATAAGGTTTGAAAAACTCTGTCTTTCCAGCCTACAACAATGCCTGAAATCCCCAGTGTTAGTTTTCCATGTGGAGATATAAAAATATTTAAGATCTCTGTTTAAGATGCAAAATTTGGAAGAGAAAACATTAACACCTACATCAGGTTTTTGAACCATTGCATTAATTGACTCATAATGAACTATAATCCCAAGGAACTGAATTTAGAAGAAGTCAACTTTGATAGAAGAGGAAATGACTTGGATCATAAGAGCTATTCACCAGTTACTGAGAACTGATTCACTGTGGGAGTTTGTGAAGATCTGACCTTGGTTTCACTTTCATTACTCTTTCATTCATTCATTCTTGAAATATGTATTGCATAATTTAAAGTGCTAAATCCTACAAAAGGTACTGGAGATTGGATAATGAGTAAAAGTTAGTGGAAAATATAACCTGAAGGAAAGTTGTGGCAGTGGAGATTATTGAATATAGGGGACCACCTGAAGAATGGAGGATACCATTGACAACGGTTTGGAATTTTCTAAAAAAGCGATTGACCACTTACTGATTAGAATTAGCACTGTTGTTCCTTTATAGTAAAAGATTTTCTCAATTTAAAGATAACATCCTACTGATTCTCAGTTAATTATCATATTAGAGGATGCTTGAAAATCTTCTTTATTCCATGTCCTAAATTCCTCTTTAATGTGTCTACTTTTCCCCAAGTCCATTGCTATTACTCCAGTTCAAACCACTGTCTCTTACCTGAATAGCTGCGTAATCTTTCTAACTGAACCTCCTGCTTCCAGAGTTTTGCTTGAGGGCTCTCAGTAGGTATTAGTTGAATGAAGAAAACAGGTATTTATTACTCTATTTAATTTTATGCAAGATTAATTTGGGGGGATTTACGTCTTCTGCTTTCATTAAATGTGTTCAGCCTTGGGATGAATATTTCTAAAAATCTTCAAGTTATGAAAAATAACTTTAAGCATTAATCATCACAATGTTCTGTGACTTTGACTTAGTGACTCAGATATAACTGATACTGCCATCAAAAAGTCACTAACAGAGACCTCTGGATTCATGAAATTGTAGTGAACATGTTCTTTGGCTTTTACAAAGTTGTATCTGAATCATTTGACAGAGGAAAATGAAAGTTTTTTTCCTTCATAAATCAATACTAAATAAATACATAATAATAGTGGCAAGACACAGATGTTAAATTAGTTGTGCACAAACTAAGCACTATTAAATCTCATATAATGTTTATGGAATAGGTGTTGGGATAAAAGATGACCCATAGTACACACCTGGGCAAAGATAAATCATATAAATTATTATCAATTATGTATTACCATGCATTCTCTTAGGTATCTCTTCAACATTTACCCACTTGAAATTTTAATTGATTAAAGGCACCAAAGCATGAAGTACATTTATTTAAAATTAAGATTTGAAGTCATATTCTGCAAAAATGAATTTTGATGGGTGTATTGAATATAAATGATAGGCAAGGCAGTATGCTGGGAAATGGAGGAGGATCTAAAGAAGGAAAAGGCACAGTGTTTGCTTTTAGGGAACTCACAATCCAACATATATATATCAGACTCCAAAAGACTCTAATAGTCATATAACAAAATTCTGTGCAATTAATGCTACTGGAGTTTCTGGATGTTGAGGAAAGCATTGTTAAGGAGATAGTAGTTGAACTGAATTGTTGAATTGAAATTGAAGAAATTAAAATAATATCCCAGAAAGAGAGACAAGCATGTCAAAGTATATAGAGGGTTTGAGGGACAGGAAGTTGGCCAGTATTACAGGAACAGAGGGTGCATCTGGACTGGAACTAGACACAAAAAGTCAGCAGGTGACATTATACAGAGCCCTGAACTTTCATAGAAAAATTTAAATCATCTAAAATTTTAAATGGTAGTGTCATCAATATTTCAGAACACCCACTCCATATGCTGAAAAACATTCTTACAGAAGTAGATAGTGTAGTGGTAAATAATGTTTTAATTGCCCCTAGAAGTGAAAATAAAGTAAGCCCAATAGAAACAGGTGTGTCCTCATTCTGTCCACCCTACCTCCAAGAAATAAAAATGTAAGACTGACACACATATCTAAGACATAGCAATAGGAGGGTGAGGTGAGAGCCAGTTTGATGACTTAAACCTAGCACAGGCTGGATAATCCAGGCATGCATTTAGCAAGAAAAGAAGCTCTGCCTCATCAGGATAGTCCGATGATGACTTGCAGCCGGGACATTATATGCCATTGAATAAACCCAAGAGACAGTCTTGTGGTTGTAGGTTTCTCCCTCTGGGTCCTCTGTGATTATATTTTCATGTGATGGTATATGGCTCAGCCATTGCACAGAATGCAGGAAAATTAAACACACAGCTTTACATAAGTCATGGAAAGATGGGGAGAAAGTATGCTTTCCAAAATGGTTAAATAGGCTCCAGCAAAGTAATCCATTATTGCTCTGTCGATAATTATGTTTTGAATTACTGCCTGTACTTACATGACTAAAGAGTAGTTTGGGCCTGTGGACTGGAATTTAACACACCTTATTCCATGTCCTAACAGGCAAGTTCACTCAGGATGCTTTCATTGGAATGAACAGCAAGTAAACACAGGACTGTTGTTTGAATATTACAGATTAGATCTTTAGAAAAGCCATAATTAGAAGTTCTTTTTTGACTTTGTCAAAATCAGTCAGATTTGAGAATTTTTACCAGAACTTTAAGGCAGAGCTGGAGTAGTCATCAATAATTTTACTCATATAATAAATAGCACTAAGGGCTTGCATTTTTAATTTGTATAAAACAATTTTTAAATTTTCCTAAATTCTGCAAGCAATAGCTATGTACTTACTTGCATGATAAAATAGATCTTTAATAAAAGATTTCCTTAAAGTTGTCTCAGTGAGTGTATGCACGGTATTAAAAACCATATTATTTGCCATACCTACACTGAAAGATACATTAAAAGAAAGTTTTAACAAAAGAGAGAGTCAAAGTGAGCTTCGTAATTTCATTTGTATTTTGTTATTTCAGGGCAGTGTTTCAACTCTAAGCACGTGCATTTGATCAGTGTAATATGGATGAATAAAAATCCTTAATATGGTGAATCCTGTGGCCATTTTATAGGTTAGAGGAAGGTTTAGAAGGAAAGTTTACCTTTGTTGTACAGCATCCACTCCCACTCCAACCTGCTGATGAGTCCGAGAGGTGCTCTTGAGCATTCTGAAAGACCAGAGACTTCAGCTAGAGATGAAGCTTTTTAGGCAGGAAAAGCAGGATAAGCCTTCCCTATACACTCTCCAGAGGTCCTTCTCTGGACCTAGAAAGAAGCATGCCTCTGACTACCCAGGTGGGTGAACAGATACAAGATCCTAAACTATTGAGGTCATGTATCTGAGCTTGCAGATTTGTGTTGGCATACTTCCAGGGTCTTTGGTAGCATCCCAGGGAATTTCAACAGAACAATAGAAACCTCTTCTTAGATAGTGGCTCCAGAGCTGTACTGTGGACAGTTCATGTGTATTCAAGAAAAGCAGCATATAATCACCTTTTCACAGTGCACATATCATTATCACTAAAGTTTCACCACTAAAAGAACTCTTATAGATTAGATATCAAGATGATGTGTTTTATCTCTAGAATCTACGGAAAGCATAAAAAGAGAAGAGTCTGTTTGGAGGGGCTTAGCTGTGCTTAGGACTGACAGTCCTGCCAGATCCTACCAGATCTATGATCTTTAGGGAATAAATTAACCTCTGAATCACTAAATGCCCTCCTCTAAAATGTTAATAATTATATCATCTTGCTATGGTCTGAATGTCTGTGCCCCCCAAAATTGATAGGTTGAAATACTAATAACCAATTCAAAAATATTAGAAGGTAGGGCCTTCAGGAGGTCCTTAGGTGATGAGGGTGAAGTTCTCATGAATGCGATTAGTATTCTGACAAAATAGAACCTAGAGAGATCCCTAGCTCCTTACACCATTGTGAGACTCCAGCAAAAGGCACTGGATGTGAACCCCAGGAAGAGGCTCTTACCAACATGTGACAATGCCGGCACCTTGATTTTGGACTTC